AGCAGTCATTATCTTTTTTTTTTTTTCAAGATTTATTTATTTAGACATACAGAACTGGGGTACAGGCTAGAGGTGCAGGGACGGTGAGAAGATTCACCAGAGACAGTGGAGAGCAGAACTTAAGTGGGGGCTGTACTTTAACCCACTGCACCACCAGGGAGGGCCCGGGACTCTCACTTTTTAAAGAATATTTTGCCTTTTCAAAACTTTTAAAAGCTTTACTGAGATAAAACATACATACAAAAAAGTATACAAATTATAAATGTACTTCTGGATAAATTTTCATAAAGAAATTACAACTTTAACTATTAACCAGCCCAGATAAAAAAACTGAACATTCCTAGCTGGACAAAGGCTTTCTATATTCTTTCTCAATTACTACCTCAGTCTTCCCAAAGAAGATACTTTCCTGGCTACTTCTATGTTTTTAAAAACTTACACAAAAGTGTTTATATAGAAGCCAAGCATTTTTGTGTCTGGCTCTTTCTTTCAACATATTTGTCTTGAAACATATTTGTGTCGAAACATATTTGTGTCATATATGCTGGTACCTAGAAAAGCAGTGCTTCCATTCTCAATATTTTATAAATACACAATGAATTGATCTGCTCTGCTGCTGGACATTCAGAATGTTGCCAGCTTGGAGCTATTACAAATAATGCTGCTTATAAACATTCTTGCACATGTCAATATGATAATTTAACATGGTTTTTGTCTTCTTGACCTCAACTTCACTAGCCTTCAGCCATCCTTAAATTTAATTCCCATCACCATACACTATACTTCAGTCACCTGATGTTCCAGGGTGTTCCATCCTGGAAATGCTACACTCCTAATACCCACTGCCTGTCTTTCTGCCATACACTGGTTCCTCACTCTCACTAAGACTTTCCTGTATCTCAACCCCTCACTTCTTTCAATCTACGTTACTCTAGTAGCCTTACTTCTATTTTAATCAACCCAAGTCACACAATGTATTTTCTCAATAATTCTCTGGGTAAGAATTTCCAATGCCTTACTTCCCCAGGTCTACCACTAACCTTATAACCTTAATTTAGCTCACTTTCTCCACTCCTAAACTGGGCTACATAGATAAGTTCACAGTCCTGCAGCAAAAGTCCCTATAAAATTTATGAACACTCTTTTTAAACATCTCTGGTTAAGATACCTACTCAAGATAATCTACTTTAGTGTTATCCTCAAGTGTCCTTCCAGCTCCTCATCTTTCAAATCTTGCCACCTCTTATTTCAGAGAAAAACAAAGGGATCAAATAAAAATGTCCTCAAATTGGTTTCCAAATAATGACCTAATAAAGATGTGGACACCCTTCCTATTGGTCTTTCTGACACTGGTGTAATGTAAGTGATTATTGCCACCTTGAAACTTAACTCTTCCCTACCTTATTTAAATCAACTTTCCTGCTTCTGGTCTTAATAGTTCTTCAACCCAACATCCAATGCAGTATGTTCTGTGATCTAGTAGCATGGACAGATACTGTAGAATAGTGTGAAAAGGTTTAATATCAAATCTTTTACCAAGGTTCCCTGGTAGCCTGGTGGTTATGTCTCAGCATTATTACCAAGATGGCCTGAGATCAATCACCAGCCAGGGAACTAACCCACATGGCTCAGCAGACTGCTCCTGTCTCACCTGCTGCTTCTTCCACAGTGGAATTCAATCTGCCTGTTCTGCTCCCTACTCTATCTCTGGTGAATCCTCTCACCACCCTGTACCTCTGG